AAATGAAATTCCATCACTAAAAACAATAACTAGAATTTTATTTTTTAAATGAATTTATTTAGTTTGTTCTAAGCTTTAAAAAAATATAACTACATTATATAAATTAGAGTAAATTACATTTTTTTTTTCCTGTGGTTTATGTGTTTTAACACTAACGAAAGATGTAATAAAAACCACATGGACCAAACATGAATTTTACTCTCTATGTAAGTCTTATTGAACACCTATGAATACCATATGATTATGAACACAATCTTATGAACGACTTATGATTATACACACATTTTTATAAACACCTATGAACATATATGAACATATTCTTATGAATACTTTATGTTACGAACACATTCTTATGAATACATATAAACATCATTAAATATGATAAACGTAATTTACATATGAAAATTTGTAATATCTCATTAAATACCATAAAAGTAATTTGCACATAAAAATTATCTATTTGTAATTCATCATTAAATCAAACATTTGAAGTAACATCTACTAAAGAATTAATATTATTGGTCCAATAAGTTTACAAAGTTAACACTATATTTTTGGTTAACAAAAGATCTTACCCCTATATATATAAATATATATATATATATATATATTATTTATCGACCTATTGTCACAAATTTATTTATTATAATATTGTATTTTAGCTTTTTCTTATTACAACAATATACTTTCAAATTAACTTTTATTATGATATTATACTTTTATTTTTCTTTATTATAACAATATACTTTCAAATTGAATTAAGATGGCATGATACAGGTTACCAAACATTCATGACATATCATTCCAATTAATAGGATATTACATGTGTTGTGGCCTATATAAGGCTAGCTTGAGAAACCCCTCAAATACTACTTCACTTGTAATTAAGCCACAAAACACAGCCATGAAAATCCTCATCCTAGTGTGGGTACAACTTCTAATGTTGTCGTTGTTTACAGCATCTGATACAAATAACACCTCTGAAACATACACCCTTATTAACAGTACCAATTTAGCAAAGCCAGGTTGCCGAAGCAAATGCGGAGACGTTATTGTTCCCTACCCTTTTGGCATCGGCATCAAATCAAATTGTTCTATAGGCCATGGGTTTGATGTTTACTGTAACACTYCTACACACCCTCCAAAGGCCTCTTTTWCCAAAACAGRTTACACCTCAATCAAACTCATATCTGATTCCACRMTCCGGACTWCCAATAWCGTGGCTTWCRRATGCTATTTTCCAAATGGCACWKTKTCAAGTGGAWTCYGRATTTSRGRAAATTTTACAGATTGGCCGTACACCTTTTCGGAAGTAAATAGGTTCACAGTCATTGGCTGCGATGATTATGCTTGGTTGACATCAGAAACAAACTCTAGGTACGTGTCTACAGGTTGTGCCACCCGTTGCCCAACACC